GCTGTCCGCAGGCCCACAACAACGCGGCCGTGTGCCTGCTCTACCTGGGCCGGCTCAAGGACTCGCTGCGGCAGCTGGAGGCCCTGGTGCAGCGCGACCCGCGGCGCGGCCGGCACGAGAGCGTCCTCTTCAACCTGACCACCATGTACGAGCTCGAGTCCTCGCGCAGCGCCCAGAAGAAGCAGGCGCTGCTGGGGGCCGTGGCCGCCACCGAGGGCGACAGCTTCAACACCCAGTGCCTCAAGCTGGCCTAGCCCGGCGCCCGGGCCGCCCCCCACACGCCGGCGGCACCGGCTCTCGTCTCTCCTCTCCGCCTCCCAGCGCCGCGGCGGTCAACACAGACGGCCAGGCCCTGCCAGCTGCTGCCCAGGCTTGGAGGGGCCTGGTCACCTCCTGGGGGCCGCCCAACCCCGCTCTATGGCGAGCACTGTGGGGGGAGCAGCTGGGGACCCCAGGCCCACAGCCCTGCCAGGCGGTGCCCGCACCTGGCTCCTGAACCCTCTGGACGGCCCCCACGTTACGGAACATGGCTCCTTGGGGGACGCTGGCCAGGCCGGGCTGTTGAAATACCAAGAATTAAAGGTTAAAATGCGGAGCAGTTTGGTTCAGGGCAGGGCACCCAGTGAGTGGGCATGTGGACGCCAGCATCCATTCCCTTCCCTGGCCACCCCCACTGGCCAGGAGGCAGCTCCCGGACGTGCATGTCCCTCGGCCAGCGCACGCCCACGCCGGGTTGCAGTGCTGGCCTGGAGGGTCAGGCCGGGCTTCCCTGGGTGGGCAGAGCCCAGGACAGGGAGGCAGGGCCACCTGGACAAGCTGCTGACCAACTCCGAAGCTGTTAAGCCTTGACCACGCCAGGCTCGTGTGGGTTTTCCAGGGTGACCGTGTTTCAGACGTGTCGCGTGACAGTGAGCGGACGCCCGCGGCGGCAGCCCTGGTCCCAGTCTCCCGCTGGGGAGCCCCCGCAGGCGCCCACACCCCTCCGCGCCGACTGGCCGTCCCCCTACGCCGTCTGCGCCAAGGAGGCCACGTAGCGCCCCCGGGCCTCAAGGTGGTCTGCCGGCCGGTTGTACGCGGTCCACACGGGCTCGCCCGCGAACAGCCGCATGGCCTTCACGTAGTTCTGCGAAGGGCGACGCCGGCGGTCAGCAGCGCCCGGCCCCGCCCCCGCCGGCCGCCAGGGTCACCCCGCCCCCAGGGAGTGGCTGCGCCTCGCGGCGGGGCGCACAGAGCCCCGGGAACGCGCTGGTGTCCGGCTGTGGGGTCCAGCGAGGGCGGGAAGGGCACTGTGGGGGCCCCCTGCTGAGCAGCGACCGCCCCCCGCCCGCGCCGCACCTGCTCGTCCAGCGTGAAGCGGTGGTAGATGCCGGCGGGCAGGGTGATCAGGTCCCCCTTCTCCATGAAGATCCGGACCCACTTGTCCTCCGCGTCCCTCACGTCGAAGTAGCCGCTGCCCTCCAGGATGTAGCGGATCTCCTCGTCCAGGTGCAGGTGCTCCTCATAGAACGTCTTGATCTGGGGCGCAGGAGGGCGGCCCTGAGCCCCGGCACTCGGCACTCCCAGCCCCGCCCCGCGGCCACCCGGGCTGGGGGCACTGCACCCCGCCCGCCGCCTGCCGCAGCCATCGGGCCATGGGCGGCCAGTGGGCTCTTCACCTTCTCCTCGTAATTGGGCAGCTTGTCCTTGCTTATGGTGATGATGTCCATCCAGGAGTAGTTTCTCTCTCTCCGGATCTTTTCTAGTTCCGGGTCATTCTCATACTTGTCGGCATCCAGCTGAGGGTATGGACGCCACAGCAGCCGCTGACACTGAGGCCTGCGCTGACCACGGGCCCAGCCCGGGGCTCCCTTCTGCCCTCTCAGGGCAAACAATGGGTGGGGGTGTCTCCTGAGCCTCACTAAACCCGGGGACCCCGCAGTGGGGGCAGGAGCCTCGCCTACAGCACACCGGGCCTCGCTGGGACAGGACACTGCCACCCGCCCTGCACCTGGGTCCTCGGTCCAGCTTCCCTCCTGTGGACACAGCAGTGCGGCTCCAAGCCCCAAAGGGTGACTTGCTCCTTTGCAAAACCGCCTGCTGCTTCAGGCCCGGGCCCTGGTCTGGCGGCGCCTGCACCTTGGTTGGGCCACACCTGCCCCTCGAAGCGGTGCCAGTGCTGCCCACGGCCACCACCGCCGGCTGCCCGTTGCCCCGGCCAGCAGCCCCTGCGCGCAGTCCTGGGGTCATCGCGGGGACGCCCCAGCCTCGTGGTCACCGCAGGGCTGCGCACCCCGGGTGGCCTCGGGCCCGGCCGCGCAGGGCACTGCACCCTGGGAGCCACAGGGGCCCGCGCCGCGCGGTC